CCGACCCAATTCACTCTGCAACCAATTAGCGTGTGCGAAATGCTTTTCATTTGCTTTCAAAGCTTCGTAAAATATTTTTATTTAGTTGCATTATGTATTAGTGTTTAGATACGTGCCGAGGGTGTGTTATCCGAGGTGTATTAATTATCTGTATTTTCCATAATCATGTGAAATTAATTTAAATCAATTATAAAATTTAGATTTAAAATATTTAGATCAATTATAAATGTAATCCGGGGGAAAATGTGTTGTTATTACTTAAAGAGAACGATATGAGGATTCAACGGCTTTTCTTGCAATATATAACACATTAAAAAAAATAAGCAAAGAAGTTAACCGGTGCCGTCTTTGCCGTACACAACATCAGGCAGCTAACAAACGAGGCTACAGCTAAAGTAGTTTAATATGCTTATTCACAGTATTGTGTAATAATATGACATACTGAGATACTGAGAAAATAAGCATATATGTTGTTTTAATTTGGGAATCCGAATCCTCCTCTTCCATCCGAATTCTTCCTTTCTTTCTGAGCAAATAAACTTTGTAACGTTTCCGTCGCTATAAGTTCGAAAAGTTCATGTATATATGTATATGTATACAGCGTGTAGTTACCATCGCGACAATAAATGAACACACGTGTAACGCTACTTGCCTATAATCATAAAAATATATTAACGTTAAACAAAATTAAGTAAAAAAGAAACAAAATTTGTATCATCCTATACAAGACGCGCCACACCGTTACATTATAAGCCTCTCCTTCTAACAGTATGTTTTCTCTCTTTTAAATTCATTCAACCCATTCATATGCTTTGTGACCTTTACAAATGACCTTTACGTTACAGTTTTATACGTAAGGGTGTTCTAAAATTTGATTGTTTCGAAAAATTTAACAACTCGGTAAATATTGATGTCTAAAGAATGTAAATGTTTAATACAATTTTAAAAAGTTATCCTCTATATGTGTGTTCATTTATTGTCGCGGTGGTAACGACACGCTGTATATAGTACGTATTATTACGTAATAATATTCACCTTTATACAAAAAACACCACCAGGCTGTGGACACTATGGAAGTACCGACGTCTAGACTGGCAATTGACATACACGCATTTAAGCTTTTGTGGACAAACTTGATTGCTAAAAAGATAACACATTTCCATCTATATTCTTTGTTCATGACGTTTACTCATCATCTTGCGAGCATCGGACACTTCAGACAGACTGAAATCATTACAAGATATTTAATAACAGAAATGTTATTAGTTACTTTAAGAAATTAACAGTTAAATAGCGAATAATAGGCTCGATTTCATTCATGTCAACATGAAACCTTAACAATCGTTCTTGTTACGATAATGATAAACACTTCATTTGTAAGAACAAAAAGATGGTTGTACGAATGCAACCTTAAGTATCGCATGTATTTTGCTCTACACGAGAGTACAAACGGCCAATTTACGGTCGAAAAGTATACAATTCGAGAACTAAACAATTTAAAACGTGCACCATTTTAGAAGAAAGAGGTCGAACCGTGCTGGTGAACAGCGATAACGTCCCCGGGAGATAAAAAAATCTCTATGGCGACGTGGTGCGCCCCGAAAAAGGGTTGACCCCAATTTAAGGGCCTGCCCAGATAACGGCCTTGATAACATTAATCAAGGCACATAACTCTTGAGGCCGGCGCCGGACAATTTTCTGGTCAGGGCCTCTTTAATTTGCCGCCCGTGTAGTAATTTTTCACTTGAATTGAGATATGATGTACACTAGATCCATAGCCGATTGAGCTTACAAAAATATTTTGAGATGTTATTCCACGCGTATACATTACACAGGAAGGAAATAATGAAAGTTATGATCTTGAATATTGATATTTGTTGTATTATTTGTTTGTATTATATATGTCTATTGTATTTCGTCGGAAAAGTCGTGTTATTTGTGAAAATGACGGTGCAAGAACGGATCATAGACTCCATCTTATATACGCATTTGATATTAAATTACGTATATAATATTTAAAATTGTACTTTTTGTAGATAAATGAACAAACGTCGCGTGCACGAAACCAATAGACGCAGGTTCGAATCCTGCAGCGCCGACAGTTTTTGTTCATTTATCCACAAAAATTTACAATTTAAAGTTTCCTCTTGAGTGCAGAGACATTCACTAAAAATAAAAATTAATCTTAAAAATATCTAATATTATTTACTGAGATGTCTGAACTCTATATTTGAAACGCAACAGGTGCAATGGGTAAGAATTTGTTATAATCTTGCTCCCAGACCGTATACTATACAAAGCTTCATTCCGTTGAAATAGTTTAAAAATTCACAATAGGGGCAGTATCCTTCGGGGTTTGGTCTCAACGCATGTTGACAGCTCTTTGGTCGCTTGCTGAACTTTCATTTTCATGACGTTGATGCAGTTTCCAAATTCTTGTACACGGTCTTCTCCAGGAAGGGTTTTGGATGGAAGTTTGTGACTGCAAACGTCTCTTTTTAAAGTAACTTTACTCTGATAGTACTGAAAGTATTTTAGAGTTCAGATGCTTTAAAAAATCGGCCAAATACGAGTCGAACTTGCACACGAAAAGTGCTATACCATTATCTATAAAAAGCGGCAAGCATAAAGTGTGGGAACTTCACTTGAATATTTTTTTCTTATTTTTAGGATTTATTGTTATAGCGGCAACAAAAACACATCATCTGCGGAAATTTTAACTGTCTAACTACCACGGTCCATGAGATACAGCCTGGTGACGGACGGACAGAAAGAGACAGACAGCGGAGTCTTAGTAATAGGGTTCCGTTTTACCTTTTGGATACGGAACCCTAAAAGATGCATCTACAAAGCATTCGTCGCACTTCTTATCTTATTTCCTAATATGACACGCTAAGTATGACGGATAATTTATGTGACATAACGCGACACGAACAAAAGGAGTCTACGTAATACGCCCGCACCGAAAATACTCGCGGGCAGCGGCGAGCCGACAATTATTATTAGTACCGAGCCGAGATCAAAGGGACGCCGACTATGATGAAGCAATAATTCATAACGACGGACCGCAATGCGGCTCTGTTCCGGTCATACCAAATCAAAAGCCCCGATGAAACCTCCTTTGCGCGTACCACGCCGTTTATACTGTTAATTAATTGATTGTTACATAACAAATTGTTACTTGGACCAGCGGTTTAAAAGACACCTATAAGACTTATGTGTTCCTCAGTGAAAACATAGGCTGTAATGCCCTCAGAACAGGGATACCGACAGGATTATAGTCAGACGGCGGTTACAACTGTGGTAGGGCCACGCAACAGTTCGCTGATGCAAGAATGGGCAGGTCCGTCCGGGGTAGTACCATGACCTCACAGAAGACCGGCGTGAAGTTGAAGTGTTACACTTCTACGTTTGGTCTGGTGAGTGAGGTAGCTGGAGACCACTTTATAAAAAGGTCGCATGGCATCTGCAACCCTACGGGTATTGCAAATTGGACATTTGGGCGGCGGTTATTGCCATTTTTAACAGCTGGGAAAGTGTTCAGAAACAATCTCAAAATATTCTTGTAACATATTTCTTTTTATTTCGATATTATCTACTTCAAAGTTCAATAAATTGTACATGTAGTCGTCATAGAATTGCGCCTTTTAGAATTTAATTCTTTAAAATGATTTTTAGTTAATTCCAAATGGCGTCTTTAGTCGAAATTCAAAGAGATTTATAATATAGAATCCGGATACGTAAATCTTAGACGAAGAAAATATTTTGGCGAACTTCCTAAAACCAAAAATAATACAAGCATTTTCCCCTCTCTTTTAAAGTAAGCTCCTATTTACTACACAGGTTTCAGTACTTTAAAAGCCTTTCAGCAAACTCATCGAGTTAAGGCCCATTGCTAAACTTTATTTACGACACAGCTTCTGATGTATCGAAAGTTTATTTTAATACAAAATATGAAATAAGCCTTAACTCACTCACGGCCGCGTTTGGACCGAGCAAACATTGAATAGTATGGTTTATAGAAAGCCTTTTGTATATTATAAAAGTTCATTGGCATTAATGTTCAAAAAGAGTCGTAGTAACTATGGCTTTATCCACGAAATATTTGGGACCTTTGCGGAAAAACTTTACTCGCAAAAATTACTTAAAAATTTCTTCTTATAGCGCCTTATATTTACTGTACGTAAAGTTTTTGTACTATTTTATTTATACTCGTAATAAGTCAATTTTCAAAATTAACCATACGATGAGTGTATTGATAATGCATGTATATCTTTTATCTGGTAAGGTAACATGTAGATAAAAGATTTAGTGTAACTGTGGTAGGGACATCCAATCTTCTCTCATACGAATGTGGAGGTCCGTCCGGGTAGGTATCACGACCTTAACACCGGCGTGAAGTGAAGATGTTATACTTCTGCATTTTGTCTGGGGAGCAGCCGGGGCCCATTTTAATAAAAGATGGCAATGCATTTGCAACCCTGTGGTGTTGCAAATGTAAATGGGCAGTTGTTATCACTTAACATCGCATGAACCGCCAGCTCGTTTGCCACTTTCTCACATAAAAAATTCGCACACATAGCATTACGAACTTAAACTATGGTAAGGCCATGCAGCGGCTTTCAATGTCGCACGATTGGACTCACAGAAAACCGGTATAAAGTGGACTTCTGCGCTTTGTCTGCTAGTTGAGGTATACGTTTTAAAAAAATACGTAACACAATCTCTTTTTTTCGTGGCAAAAATCCTTTATGGTTCCCGTGTCACTGGATCGGGGAGTGGCAGCATGTGGGAGTCCCAGTAAGGAACTGGTACCAAATAAAAAACCTACGATGCACTTGTCTCCGTCGCATCGGCCTGGGTCACGCACGACTGCGCGAGATCTTAACCACACGTGAACCTGGTAATAAGCGATACCCGCCGCCGAGAGTTTTCCGTGAATATTCCGCCTAGACGGAGCGTTTTTTTTTTCCCTTGGAATTTACAATTTTCCACAATGCATGAACTCCTCGCGCGGGAACAGCGCGAATAATGGAGACGCAAGCGTGATACTCCACTTCGAACGGCAACAATACGGCGCGTGGCATTCACGTAAAACTGCGACCTTTCCGCTAATTGGTTCGCCAGAGAATTGGGTCAGCTGCACTCCGGTGGCGAGAGCTGGCTGGCGTTATTCCCCAACAATGGCCGCCGCGCCATTGTCGTTGAATATGACATTCGGGCTCACGGCGCGAGCCGAATAAAGCCGCCTTAACGGATTAAGTCGCATTGAATTTGAGTTTAATTCCATATTAGAAATTTAAATTTTTTATTGTGCTTATCTCTGCACTTAAGTTTAAACATTAAAATTCGTAGAAAAAGTACGATTCCCTCAGCGGCGACAATCTTTTCGTACTTTTTCTACGAATTTTAATGTTTAATTCTTTTTTGTTAGCAACGCTGGCAAATACGCAACGTTAACTGATTGCCGCAGCCTAAAGTCTCTCCACACCTGTGACGTAGCACTACTTTCCTTACTTTACCTAGTTACCTTACTCAGCAGGCGAAAAGTATAATTAGAAATTCTTATACTTTTCCCAGCATTCTGTTAGGTGTGGTATTATAGAGCTGCCCTAAGCATGCAAGAATAGAGGCCGTTGCGGCTCAACTACAGATATAAAAAATATAACGAACTAGCTGTCTCGGCAAACGTTGTTTTGCCATATAAATTATTTCTAGAGGAATCGCAACGCACGTATAAAGTGTTTGACAGGTTACACACACATAGTTGAGAGGTTGACAGGTACAGTTTTTATGGAAAAATAAAATTGTTGCTATTTCGATTTTCCATGCAATTTTTACATTATTTCTCATCGTTTAAACCTCCCCTGAACTGCCACGAATGTATCAAAACCAAAATTAGCCAAATCGTTACAGAGAACGGTCTCGAGCAATCCATTTTTATATATAAGATTATTTACTGTATATGGTTTATCTATGGTCGGTATTTATGGGGCCGTATCTCCATAGCCATAATAAATAAGTTACAAAAAGAATTTAATCCGTGAATATTAACTTAACCAGTCAATTCGTTAACACAACTTATTTTCAAAACCATTTGCAATCATAACAACAACGCTTTGTTAACATTGAAGCAAACTTCGTGTACAAGTAAAGATAAAATTAGAGTTATGCCACAAACTTAGATATTAGCTTCATGTCTGCGCCTAATGCGCTGTTAAATTGCCGAGCAAGTAACTTTGTCTGAGACGATTTAGCCTTCTCTAGCTGAATTCCACGTATTTGACTTGAGCGAGTCGTGGATATCATTCAGGCAAATTGCAATTAATGCCGTAAGTTCACAATTTAGTCGTAGATTCGAAGCTCGGTGGCGGTCATAAATAGATTTCTGTATTTGCAAGTTATGTTTTCCAAAGTGCCGCCTGCCTGACTTCAACTTTCCTTACGAGTAGACACCCAGATCTGCAACGATTGTCTATGGGTCACACAAATACTTGCCCGTGTGGGAATCGAACCCATGACCCCCGCCGCCTTAGCTAATAGCTTATGTAATTAGCGATTGCACCGATTCAAACGTGATATCTTTTAAGCCCAAATGCTAGTGCTACGAAAAAGCGTGTCTGTATATTTTAAAATATAATATCGGCGCTAATTAACATCAACAAGCTCTTAAGACTTTTGAATATTAACATTTAGTATTTTATGTAGCGTAAAGTTTCTGAACAAATAAATAGTACTTACTCCAGTAAAGTGCTCAGCCTTAAAGACTCTATAAGTGGCAACGTTTTGAAGTTGCTCGCTTTTTAGGGTTCCGTACTCAAAGGACAAAACGGGACCCTATTACTAAGACTTCGCTGTCTGTCTGTCCGTCCATCTCTCACCAGGCTGTATCTCATGAACCGCGACAGCTTGACAGTTAAAATTTTCACAGATGATATATTTCTGTTGCCGCTATAACAACTAATACACCGAATAAATAAATATTTAAGTGGGGCTCCAATACAACAGACATGATTTTTTTGCCGACTCGGTACAATATAATGAAAAGATTTGAGATAATGGTACGGAACCCTCCGTGAACGAGTCTGACTCGCACTTGGCCGGTTTTATGTTTGAACGTCCCTGTTGGTCTTTCAATACTTATATTTTGTTACTACTTTGAAAGTAAAATTAAATACATAGATGGGACTTGTTTATGATATACGATTTTTTAAGAGTAAAAGCGCTGTCTAGTTACCCGATGGGCAACTAAGGAGTGGTAATATATACCAACTTTTAAGTTATTGTTTTAATTTTCAGTTGAAATTTTCACAGAGGACGTATATCTGTTGCCGCTATAACAACAAATATCTACTAAAAAAAACAATAAAAATGATGTAATATAACATACATGATGTTTGTTTTTTTTTTGCCGTTTTTATATATAATGGTAAGAAACCCTTCGTAGACGAGTCCGCCTCGCACTTGGCTGTTTTTTTTTTAGTATAATTCTTGAAATACATTTTTTTACAGTTAGTTTTTGCATTCATACTTCAAACCGCTGAAAACAAGGTTTAGTCCGAATATCAAAATGAAGACTAAATGTTAAGTTCCGCCAGTATTTGACCTGAGCGAAGAATTAACAAACGCCGACATCAATTATGCAATTTCATTAGAGCGAGCCACTCACTTAGGATTTGTAAGAATGACTAAGTATGTATATACGTATTTAATATACATATAAATTGTATGTTATTATAGTACTTAATGTATTTACTACTATATTATTATTTGAATATGCGTATAAAACTTTTCCGTGACTTTATTCTTTGAAAAATTAAACTAACTGTAGGCTTTTTAAACGAGATTTTTTTTTATTTTGTGGCTCGTCGTTTCTTGGAGATTTAATGTTACAATGTGTATTCGGTTGCTCAAAAGGCAATTAGTGCTTAAGATCATTCGAGGTCATTGTTTTAACGTTATTATAATTTTGTGTTCTGAACGAAGATCGATCAGCCGTCGCATCAATACCCCGTCTGCGACGTTTGAAACCTTTTAGATTCTTGAACTAATATCGAGCTCGAGGCTTAGAATAATTATAAAGTTTAATCATTTGGACCATTAGGCATCCACTCCAATAATTTAAGACACTAGAGTCTAGGTACAAAAGGTTTGATCGTACTAATCACAATAATATCGTCTGATATGCTTCGTTGGTTGCAGACATTTATTACCTTGTGAGGTTAATTTAAGGATTTAAAATATATGTTTACTTTAATGTTCGTTTATAAAGCTGAATTAAAATGTTAACAGTTGAATTTGTACGTAGGTAGGTAAATACGTATCGGGGATGAATAGGGATACGAGACGGGGCGAGGACCTGTGCAAATGTGCAGGAAGTCGATGCAGTCTGTGGGGTTTTCCCTTTTAATTAAGAATAAATATGCTTTCCAAAAACGATACAGTCGTTCGTGATAAAGAAATTCGCGTAAGCAAACACATCTAATGCCCTGCATTAAATAGGCTTAACATTTCTTTTTTCATTTCGGTGTTGCGACAAATTATTCCGTTTCACTCTTGACCCTTGTTACTTATTAATCTCCTTTACGTCCCGTTGAGCATACAAATTGATAAAGCTATGAAATATTGTTTGTCTAAGTCCTATAGGAGACAGGAAAGAATGGTTTATTGCGTTTTTTGAATAAAACTATCTTAAGTTTTATCGTATTTTTATAGTTTTTTTTTTAATTTTAATTTTAATCATACTGGATGTAACATCGATATTCAAAGAAAACTGTTAATGGCTTTAGTAGGTATCTTGGCCTTACCCTTTGATACAGGCTAGCGATAGCGCATGATTTAACAAAAAAAGTAAAGTAATGTAATAGCCTATATATGCCCCACTCCTAGGGTATCACCACGCGTCCCCACTAGTATTTGGTAGACAACATATCTTCGCTTTTTTTTGTTGTTATTTCGAAAATATGCATGTATCCTTCGATTTGACTTTCTTATTATTTCGAAAATGTGCAGGTTTTCTCACAAAGTTGTGCTTCACCGCTGCGTGATAAATCAGCACTAAAATTTTTATTAAGAATTTCATTGGTGCCGGCACCGGTAACCGAACTCAGGTTGCTCGAGTACATTGCATTAAAAGCTAACACCCTGCCACTATCATGGCCCTTTATTCTATTAAAATTTATAAAGGATTTATGACCATTGAAGACACATCTGTTCAGAGTTCTAAAGCTATTGAAACGCGTGTTGCTCATAATTGTATAACAACTTGAATGACAGCATGTGCCTGACAATATGGATGTAGCCTGTGTTTCTCAATATGTCAATGAGAAAATTATTAGTATAACGTCTGGTTCTTTAGGTTTTTACTCATGTAACATTTATACACGCCTTTATTTAAAAAAGGGAGAGAATAATACAGGTTAAAAAACATATTGTAAAACTCAAAACAATCGTAAATTGGAATGTTACTGTTTATGTTTGTTTGAAAGAGTTCCACAACAACTACCTAGATAAAACAAGGAAATTCTTTTAACGTTGTCCAGTGTTTCCCAGTCTCAGACAAAGATTAATAAAATAGGTCAGTGACAGTTAATAATTAATTTGATTTAAGTTACGAAGATAGTTAGTCTGTATAAATAAAATGATAGATGTCTGCCGTTGTGCGCTTGTGCGCGCATCAAGGAAAAACTACTGGATATAAAATTAATACTTCTAACTTTTATTTCTTTGAAACTGTTGTGGTCCTTAACTAAACGACTGATACTATAAACTATAAGTATTACGTGTTCTGTGATGTCTATTTTCTTGTCGTGGGAAATGGGTTTAAAAGACGTCCCGAACTTTTTGATGTTTCTTCCTCTGCACATAAAATACTTTGCTATAATAAGCGCGGCAGACGACGACGCAGGTATCATCTAGTAGTAGGTAGGTATATAGTTAGTAATATAATCTAGCTAATAGTAAAAGCTAGAACGGATAATACATTCTATTATTATCTATACAAATAATACAATGTTTATTCATTATGCTTGATGTTAAATCTATTTGTAATATTTATTAGTTTATTTGTGTTTTGTTCTTCTATTAAATCTAAGTTACTGTAACTAAAAAAATCTAAGTAAGTGTATTGACCAATAAAGAGCTCGATTCCTCGACAACATCACATCACTTACCGACGGGTCATGGCTTTTTAAAAATGGAAAAAAAAATATTACACACATTTCCCATTACACATTATAATGTTCCAAATAGAGTTACCAGTTTGATAATTATTAAAAGTTTAAAATAAAAAAAATTGACACATTTTAATAACGTCATTTAATTTGTAATATTTATTTGTCTTGAAAATGAATCATACGCTGAACAACATCGATGTTTTTATTATAGTAGCATTTAAGGTCAACTTGAGGTGGTAAATAGAGGTAAATAATAATAATAAAAGGCAATTTGTATGCTTAGTAAACTTTGAATACCTGTGACCACAAAGTTGAAATGTTTTGCATTTCAAAGGGGCGACGGGCTTCATAGAACATTTCTTTTGACGGAGTCGCAACCGGCCTCCAGTCTCGTTCCATTTATTGTGATGTATGTTCGTGTTCTCTTAATTTTTTCTGTCGCAACTGTTCAATTGTGAACTCTAAGACTTAACGGTTTAGTTGAATATCGGTTACATAATCGTGTAGTGTTATCAGATCCGTTTGGGTTAATTGTGAATATTATTTAATTTGTTTACGATATGAACGAGAAATTGAACAGGAGGAACCTTTTTATTTAAAAGTTTTAGTTTTTATTTTACCGCAATTTCTCTATTTCGTTTCCGATAAAACCCTTTTTCATCATTTGCATGAGGGAAAATACGCTCTATGTAATAATGGTGTATTTCAACTGTGACTTCGCAAATTAATAGTGAGTGGAGAAATGTCTTAGGCATGTCTATTTAACATAAATTATAACAAAAAAATCAGGTTTTTTTTAAAAGTGAAAAGTTCTCAAGCGAGCGATTGGCTCTGCTTAGCTGCCCATGGGCAGCTGCAACACCTAATGGCTTGCTGATCCCACCTTTAAAAAAGTGTGTCTTGGTTACCTATTTGTTGCTATACTGGTTTTTTTTTATTAAATTTTATTTTTAAAACATTGGCCTTATTTTAGGATAACATTATCCTGTATTGTAAGGACGTTTTACAAACATAAATTTCACGTGGACAAATACCCAGATTCGAAACAACTATCTGTGGGTCACACAAATAGTTGTCCCGTGTGGGGATCGAATCCACGACCCCCGACGCCGAAGCCAGTACCTTGGCGACTGCGTCACGGAGTCCGGTATCATTTGTCGCTATAAATGCTAACTGAATCTCAATCTTTAACTCAGAAAAATCTCGTTTTATACTTTTGTGTTTGGTCTGGCTAGTGAGGAAACCGTTACCCGTACATTTAAAGATAGACAACGCATCCGCCATTCCCATGGTGTTGTAGAATTGCCAATCAGCGGCAATCAGTCAATAGAGAGATCCTGCTCGTTTGTCACAATTTCGTGTTAAGAAGCCCAAAAACTCACCTTTCCCACCACAACTGGCGGTAATATCCAAATGGAATCGGGAAACTTTCTAAGAAAATGTTTAACTACGCACTAAATGGTTTATGTTGTATGTAATGGACGCTCGACATCCGGTAAGTCGAAACGGAGACAAATCGCAGATAATACGTGTGGCATCAGAATGGTTCTGTCTCACGTTAATGATCTCGAAAATAGTTTAATGGACGATTATAGAATATAAAGTGGATATAAACAGCTGCGGTCATTATTTGCCGTTTTTGATTCCTTTGACCCACCTCACTCGTCGGGCCATGAAATCAGGTCTTTTGTTAGGTACTGTTTTTTACAATTTATTAAAATATTTTATACAATATATTCACAGTTGACATAAAGTTTTAAATTGTGCGTAATAAAGGCGATGTTGATTTTATTGCAACAACTCTTTTCATTCCTCCGTTATAATCAACCACTCATGTCCTTTAACGACCACTATGATAAAAAAAACTGTTCCTACTAACGCTCTCGTCAGTTTCAATCGCTAAAACACCGGTCGCCAAAGCGAGCTTCCCGTGTTCCCGTCAACAGATGTCCGATCCGCTTCGAAAGCTTTCCAAAGATCAACGCGAGCTAATTGGCTCACCTTTCGCCACACCGCGCACCGTCGCGCCGTCTGAGCTTCTCTATTTCTTTTCAGCGCCTGAAATAAGACTGCCGGTGGTGCGTTGAGGCGTGGACGGGATGGCCCCCCGGCGGATCAGGTTCGATCCCGCGCGCCATCTGCCGGCGAGACGCGGCCACCGCTTCCGCAATTCTAAATAGTGCTCCGTCAGCCGTGTGATGTGGTTTAGTGTTCAGTGCCGCGCCGCGACTAGTGGATAATGTCGGAGGAGCGGTCGCGGCGGCTCTCGCAGATATTCGACCCGCTGTCCCGTTTCACGGACGCGGGCGGCGCCGGCCGCTCGGCCAGCACGCCGAACAGCCCGCGGCTGCTGCCGAGGCGCTCCAGGGGGCCGCCGCCGCCGCCGCCTAGGTGAGTCACAGCCCTTATTTTCTGCACACAACACCCGCAGGGGCACCTTTTGATAAAGTGGGCCCCGGCTAACTCACTCACTACTTTTTTTATTATTGCCTTATCAACCGACTTCATAAACAAACATAAAAAAAATACGACCGAATTGCGAACCCACTCCGTTCGCAATTCGGTTGTATTTTTTTAATGTGTGTTACTTCAGAATATCCGATATTTATGAACCCATTTTGGGTATTCTTTTGCATTGGGTTCGTGTTTGATTTCGCGTGATTTCAATTCCCATATTAATTTCATCAGTGTCGGACCTTCGACTCCGGATATGCATCAGGGGATTCCCCAAAATCAAATAGAAAAATAGTGAGTGAGACGTTTGAACTCAGTTTTGTTCAATAATTTACGCGATTATCAGTTTTGTTGGTAACTAAAAATGCTTTTTACATAAAAAAGATGCCAATCGGGCGTCTTGAGGTGGCCATGCGTCTTCGTGTTCGAGTGTCCAATGACAGGTGCAGGGGCCTCTATAAGAAACCCAAATCGTTCTGATCGGGACTCCCACATACCATTGGCGCTCCTCGATTGGACCATTGCCGCATTTTTCCCACGCTGAAAAAATAAATAAAAAGCCACTTTGTTTGATGGCACGTGATAACACCCTGCAAAGGGCACCTTCAATAATAGAGGCCTTCCATCCAAACCTAACTCACCGGTCGAAATGCAAAAGTATGAATATTTCTGCTAGACGTCAGCGTTCTCTGAGGCAGTGGTACATACTACTCGTATGTGCTTTTTAATTGCAACAGAAAGTAATGCAGTATATTAAATGATATTTTACCATTATTAAACATTATTGCATAAAACGTGTGAATGATTATTGCTTGAAAAGATCTCAAGACTTCACACCGCCACAAGCGATGAAAGAATAATAGAGGAAATCATAATAAAAGCAAAAGTATGTGTATTTCCTCTTTTTTATCGCAACGACGTAATAATTTTTTTTCCTATGGCTACGAAATAATATCTAGGACTCTTTTATGGGGTAAAAGTTGAAGACATCGTTTCGTAGTAGATTTGTGCCAAGGAGATATGTTGCAAAATTTACGCTAAAATTCACACAAGGATACTTACACAACTACCTATGTATGTATAATTATTTGCTCCCTATATGTGTAAATATTTAAACGTAGTAATGATTAACTAAATATAAATTATGGACCCTGCAAGCAATGTGGGGTGGCCTTTCTTCAGCAGATGATGATGATGAAATTATTTATACACTTTAAGAAATTTTATCTAATGAATTACTGTTTGTATATGAACTAATTTGATTTTTTTAATATCATTGTTGTAATTTTTAATTTCCTTTTAATGAATGAATGAATGAATGTCTTTATTGCCAGACTACGGTTAACCCTTAACATTTTATAAATTTATATGACTTTTATTCTTATAAAAAGCCAAGCTTCTATAACTACTGTTGTGTCTTTTTATAAGTTAATAACTACATTTATAAATAAAAGCCAGAAAATAGTCCATTTAAATGTTTTCAAGGTCTAAAGAATGTGGAATAATTCAAATTCAAATGTCTTTATAACTTTCCCTAAGTATTCTCAGCGAAAGACGAGGGACTCAATCTCTTTCTCTAACAACTTTGTTAACTGTGGTAGATCCACGTAACACACACACACACACACACACACACACACACACACGGGTCGTCCACACAATGCCCTAGCAGTCGGGCAGATGCAGGTGCGGGCATCGGGGAATCGAACCCCATAACCCGGGCATCGTCTCATCCACGTAACATTCTACAGTGCGTCCGGGTAAAATCCACCACGCCTTACAGAATACCAACGTGAACTGGAAGTGTTATGATGGTGAGTGAGGTAGCCGGTTGTTATAAGGTGGCAATGCATCTTCAACCCTACGGGCGTTGCAAATGTTAATGGGCGGCGGTTATAATTTAACATCAGCTCCTTGCCACCTTCTCACATAAACCGGACTCAAAATTACTAGGTTTTTGTAATAAAATAATTACCATTAGAAATAGAAATTGACACTCCGTAAGAAATAAATCGATGTTGTAAGGCAAGGAGATAATTCAAACTTGAAACCGTAACAAATTAGCCGCACCTAATGTTTTTCGGTGGCGTATCAGATTACGATGTTACGTTAAATTTAAGTTTAAAAATCCTGTTGCTACGTTGAACAAACTGTTGTTTCCACAATATCGTCAGAGAGTGTAGCCATGTTATAAATAAAAATGTATATTTATTTAGATGTTTGCTTCATTATTATAACGTGAGTTAGGATTTTATGTGTGTCTTTTACGCATCTTTGATTCTTAATTTTTTGAGCATGAATTTCTGTTTACGATGTTACGTTTATATGTATATTAAATTTGAAAGACAAAGCTAGTTTTTATATAGTGTTTATTGTCTACGTTATATATTGTCATATAACTATATACTATGAATGGCTTATTACGCTTTATTTATTTATGTATGGTGCGATGAGTTTACCACATTGTGACCAAAACATTTTTACTCATTATTAGATGCTTTTAATTTTAGCATAAATATGTGGCGCTCGGTTGTTGTCAAAACATTTTAGAAATGTTCAAAGTTCTGATGTTAAAATGCTAATCGCTTTTTTTTTATAAGAAACACTTGTTTTTATTGAATTACTGTTAAGGAATTTAAAGTGCAAAGCCCGCTACGGCTTATGCATCTCACAATTACTATGACTTTGCTAAAGTGTATAAGACCACAGTATAAGGAAACAGATATACCAGCATAACAATGAGCTAGTGCCAATATAGTTTCATTCAAGACTTATCAATCTCATATTTAATGAATTTAAAACTTAGGATTTATTTTATAAATTGTAGAAAACCCTTTATTGAGTTTAGTTACTTGTAAACGGAAATTTTGGCCTGTATATCTTGAAATGTTCTGTTGATCTAAAAATGTGGGGGAGGCCTTTCTTCAGCAGTGTGAAAACTAACAAGTAATTTTCATACATTCCAGTCCCATTCAACATCCCATGCTCATGTTATTGGACAATAGGTATTTAAGTATTCTGTTTGAAAATAATTCATTCTCGTTAGAAAACATTAACTATAGTACTTGGCAGTAAACATTGCATACATATTTTTTTGACCAAATTTCATAACCAAAATTAACCCATTGTCTCTTCCTAAAGGTCGATCTGCACTATTTATCGCCGAGTACTATAACTGTTATCGATGAAAAATTTCATACGAGAATCAGTTACTCTGTGACTGAAGCCAGTGAGCTGTCGTAATGTATGCGACTCGCTGATTGCGCAATATCAGTTCATTTATGAGGGACTTGCAAGGATTTCCATTAGACTCGCTTGATGTACTCGACACGTGTGTGCTGTATTATCTCAGCTCGCTCTCTTCGTGTACCGCCAACTAGTTAGTACATAATGGCTTAGCGTTATGCAGTGATGAATTACTTATAGTGCTATAATGAATAACGAGCGATATCTAAAGCGTATGAGACGTGACAAATCTCGAATTGGAAACAGCCTCGTTTTACTTCAGCTTTTAGTCTTAAATTCTCACATCCTGGTATGTGCAGATAATGGCACTAAAAAAAATTATTCTCCTTTAATAATCATATTGATGTTTAGCTTGAGGCAAATGACGAATTTTAATCTGATAGCGTTGTTGCTATTGCTATTGACTCGTACAAAAACAACTCCCGTTATAAATTACAGGTGGTAATCCGACCAATTCGAGCAGTGTAAACTTTCCATTATCAATGCAAACATTCAATCTCCCTCAATACATGAAATCGCTCTCGCATAAAGTGATTCAATCATATAATTGTAATAATGGCATTGTTGTTTGTGTCCTCATTTGTAAAAATCTATTAGCGTTCGCTTTTCGCTGTTTGCTCAAACAATTTGATCGCTAATTTAATTAATCCCGCTACGCAAATGATTGAATTCAAATTGTTGACGGTCTCCTGTTTTTGGCGGATAAATCGTTATGTCGTAGGCGTGTTCACGGAAGGCGATTCGATTTGCTAAATAAGAAAACGTTTTGATTGCAAAATGATGATAGAATTGGCCCCTTCAGAAAAAAACAGTTTGCGTTAGCGTCAATTTGCCCTAATATTAGCACTAATATTCAAATATGAAAAATTGATTGTATAGTCTACATTTGATATTTGACATAGTTTCAATGTTTCACTCTAATTCATTTTGACGCATTGGCGTTTTATATGAAAAATAGGTAAACAGTTTCGCCAATATAAAGGTTAAATCGATGTGAGATCTAATAAGCAGTAAAATCTTTTAAGGTGGTTGGACTGCCCAACCGGAATTGAATTTGCTTCCTTTCCAGAATTTTTCCGAATCGGGAAAAAAGTGGTAATCTGTTGGAGCAAGCTGTGAGTATAGTGGGTGCCGGAGACATTCCAATCGTACCTCTAATTTAGGTAGCATCTGTCGTGAAGTGTGAGGTCTAAGCGTTGTCCTGAAGCAACAGGGAGTTAATTGACAAGTCTTGTGAGTGACAGGTGTTGTCAGTGACAATAGGAATACCATACTCGTTTGGGATTAATAAACTTGGGTATGTTTCTACATAAAAGTAAACGAACCTCGTCTCATTCTAATGCATCGATATGCACTCTACGCGGTCGTGCTCCGGTACATTTCATGCATGATACTTTCGCGGGCTTTTTACGATATGACGCTTTACGATCTAAAAACTTCTATTAGTTCTATCTATGTATCCGCCTTTAATGCATAACAACTACCGCGTTCGCCGGCGGCGACGCGAATTTTATTATGCTCTCATACGTGTTCCAAATTTGAAATCTTAATACGTGTTTTCATTTATCGCTAGCCCGCGTCAACGCTTGTGCGTCTTCGTTTTGAAATTAACTTGAAAGCTGACATCCCTATTTAACCTATTCCGAGTTTGAGTTTAAACTATTTTGATTTTCGTCATATTTTGTTTTATTATCGACGTTGTTAATTAATGTGACATTCACCATATAGCTCTGATCTCGTGCCAGATTACCACTTATTTCGATCTCTGGACGACTCCCTTCGTGACGCTGTAATATCTCACTTATCTCAGTTCTTGGCCGAACTTTACCGAAAAGGATCCGACTTTCTATCAGCGTGGAATTTTCAAGTAGTCAAAGAAATGGCAAAAGGTCATCAGACAAAATGGAAAATAAATTATAGATTAAACTTCATTCCAAGTCAAAGCAAATCCGCAATGACTAAGTTGTGAACCCCAGTTCTATAGATCTAGGTACTTACTTAATCTAAGTTTTCTGAACACAAAATTTGCTCTGTTACACCGTGATTGTTGATATCAGGTCGTTGGCTGAGATGAAAAAAGATCTTATTAAAACGTAAGTAGTTTGTTGGACCCGTATGGGGTCGTTGGCCGCGATTTTTCGTTTCCAAGCGAAGGTGGAATACTGGCAGTGAATTGATTAATTCGAAATGTTTTTATTCATGAGAAAATCTTGTAGATTTCTCGAATGCTGTTTTGGAGTCTTGCGTTTCGTTTGCGCATATTTTTGAGGTTATACTTATTTTGGCGCGTTGGGAAAAAATATGAGATTAAAATTTTTACGATACACACAGATCACACAGACACCGATTCGATCACACATTTAATTAAACCGTTATCAATTGCACTTAGTCTTTTTCACAAACAAGGAGTAACTGGCACAGTGGAAAACATTTTTAGTAATTTTATTTTGTTACTCTAAAGAAGTATAAATTCTTACGTGCGTACATAAGTACACAGATAAGGTTTTTTTTTATATTTTTAATTACTAGATTTATAAGTTTTCAGTCAGAGTATGTCCTATTCCTTTTAAGTCGTAAAATCCATTCTATTAAAAATGTGATATATTATTCACATGAATGACAAGCCAATAAACATAAACAAGACGGTTGTTTAAAATTAAGTCAAAAGCAGAAATTGTGGAATAGAAAGCATGTCATTACGATATCCAAGCATACACATTATAAATGAAAAAAAACCTTATATGCTATTTTTATAAATGCTATTTCACATTATTCCTAGCTTTAAATTGTCCTTTGGTTTACTTTTCCTTTTCTTGACGACGTCGTAATGATCACTATAAAGTTAAATTAGATACTGATTTATATCATTGTAAAATTTTTTTACGCAATACAAATACTGATTATGTCTGATCCCCTATAATGATGCTAGTAACAAGTGCATATACACATATTTCTTCTACGAAAGCTAATGCCGGCAAAGTATATTAAATAGAAATATCCCAGTGAGTGTTGATGTACATCGTATTTTATGTGGTTTTGTGTGGTACGTCTGCGTTGAATAGACTGAAGGCGTAACATTCAAACAAAAAGAAAGATATACATAAAAATATGTATATAAATTATAGCCCATGTGTTATTCTGATGTAGGTATAAGCTATATTACTGTAAAGTTTCATTAAAATCCATTCAGTGAAAGAATAACAAACATCCATCCATACATACAAACTTTCGCGTTTATAATATTAGTAAGGATAGTAAGGATAAGTCCAATGATCACTATGAGCTAGAAGATCTATTTTAGTCTTCCGTTCAAAAACATAGTCCACAGACCCCTGTAAGGACGTTTTACATACATAAATGTGATGGACTTCTCACGTGGCTGATATAAGATTGAAAGATAAAAAAACGCAACACACACTAAAAAAAACTAACAAATATTGTGAAACAAAAAAGAAACCTAAATAAAAAAATCGTTAACATTTTTTTTAATGTGAAAAGTTGCCAAGCGAGCAGACGGTTCACCTGATGTTAAGTGAATACCGCCGCCCATGGATATTTGCTACACCCGAGGGTTCCAGATGCGTTGACAACCTTTTGAAAATTGGGCTTAATTTTAACAGAATAGTAACACTAACATAATTATAACGAAAAAGTGCGTGTCAGATGGCAGGACCACACAGGTCTTCAGAGAGCTTACTGTACTTTTATCCACTCTACTTTTATCACTCTACTCCAGATACTGTGCTGTACTATATTACGGGCTTAAAAACTTGACGCTGCTTTTCATCTGGAGCCTATGTATGTATTATTGACGTTTTTTTTACGTGAAAATGTGGCTAACGGGCTGGCGGTTCAGCTGATGTTAAGTAATAACCGCCGCCTTTAGACATTTGCAACACCCTTAGGGTTGCAAATGCGTTGCCACCTCTAAATAAAGTGGGCCACTATCACCAGAGGAAACGCAGAAGTAGACTTCTACTTTACGCCGGTCTTCTGTGAGGTCGCGTAATTACCCGGACGGGCCTGCCCATTCGTGCAACAGCGAAAACTGTTGCGCGGCCCTACCACAGTTGGAAAGCGATAGTAAAGCGCACCTTCTTCTCCAGACCGCTCGGGCATGCGTCGCACCTGGACCCTCTGGATTACGAGCTGGCGGCGGCGGAGTTCGGCGCGGTGAACTGGCAGGAGCGATGCCTGGAACTGCAGCTGGAGCTGCACAGGAGCCGCCACCAGGCGACGAGGGTGCGCGACATGCTGAGAGATAAGGTGAGGCGCGGTCGATCGATTCATAGTCGAAAGACATCTATGTGCGCTTTTATTTACGCACGCAAGAATTTGTACTTTAGCGTGAAGATTTTACAATTGATAACGGTTTATTTGAATAACTTGGAGTTATTGGTAAATATCAAAAAGTTGTTATTGCTTGCCATGGTAATACCGGCTGCAAAGCAACATGATGAAGTTGCTGAAGAATGATGAAGTTGCTTCGTAACCAACTTCATCATGTTGCTTTTTGAGGGTAGGAGTGCGCACGCATCGTAATAATTTTACTCTCATAATTTTTTCAAACGCGCCAAAAGAAATATACTTCAAAAAATTCAATTATTCAATATATAGGTAAATACTGGAGCCCAATGTGACTGAAAGGGATTTACGATTTGCTATTCAAGACTAAAACGTATAGAAATCACTTGTGCTCGGCGCTTCGATGTTTACATTTGAATGTCCATACATTTACGTGAATGCACATTTATTAAGTGAAGTTATTTTCACGAATTTTATTGCGTTTACTGTAAAATTTAACTCATGACGTTTCAAATGAATTGTTTCATTCATGATGAGAGTCCATGCCGTTACCATAAAAATAGTTTAATTTAATAATGCAAATGGTTTTATATTATAAGATGAAAATATTTTTAAATTTGTTCTGAATTGTTTTACACTGACGTTGTAGACAGAACAGAGAAGGGCGCTGTGCACAGAACGGCGGGCCATACATTTTAGATGTCTTTACTCAGGAAGTGGTAAATAAAGTCTATTTGCTCTCTTTATACATAGCTGGTGCCTTGAGAATTTGTGATTAAGTAACAGATACATATGGCATATCGGTTCTGTATAGACGATCACTCACGCCATACAGACTACCGATAATAACAAGCAAAAAAAACAACAACAAAGTTATTTATACTGTAATGAGATTAATGATTTGAAAAGTACTGTTATCTACCTTTTAAACAAGGAAATTGTGTTGTTTTTTTTTTCATTCACGGCTCGTTCAATACCACATTTATTATGAATACTTTAATATTAATTCATATTATATATTTCATTAACTTAACTGAATATTTAAAGAGGTAACATAATGTCTCACTGTTTTAAAGCTCATGATAAAAACTTAAACCGTAATAAACGTCCATTTTAATGCGCCGTCTCAGAAACGCGACTTAAAATGTAAAATAACTTGAGCAACAAGCGGGTACTTAGCTCCGAGAGCTTTGGTTCAAACTGTGCCATTTTATAATCTTATTGCGAAATGATTTTTAATTGCCGAAAAGATAAACGCTCGCGTTTTATGTAAATTGCGAATTCAAGAAAATGAATGTATCCTCATAAATTCGCCTCCGAGCTCAGTTTTAAAATAAATCCCCTACTTAAATGATTTAAACTAGTCCAAAAATTAAATTTTAACTTCTAACTTTCTAACTTTCTAGAAATTACGCGAATAGAAAATGATAAAGATAAAAATATTATTTATTGTTGTATTGCATTTTATTAATAAATCAACTTTATTAAGTAATTCCCTAATTTAAATTGGTACTCTCATTCCTCGTTTCATACTTTTTACCGCTAGATGAATTGCTAAACGTTGCATTCACAAATAACGGTTACAAATGCATTTCATTACAGTTGGTAACTCGTTTAACATATATGCAAAGATTGAAAATAATTTAGTGACTAACTTTTTAAAAATTGCGTGAAGAGAAAGCTTTAGAATTTAAAATTTACTTTATTTGAACGTATCAATCTTGGTTTGAAATATATTATTTACCCATGCGTTTCTACAATAAGATGGAACATGTCGCATGCATTTCATTATTGCATTAATGCATTTCATTACAGTTGGTAACTCGTTTAACATATATGCAAAGATTGAAAATAATTTAGTGTCTAACTTTCTAAAAATTGCGCGAAAAGAAAGCTTTAGAATTTAAAATTTACTTTATATGAACGTATCAATCTTGGTTTGAAATATATTATTTACACATGCGTTTCTACAATAAGATGGAGCATGTCGCTATTGATAATTCACCTACAATATCAAATGATAAAGATCATCGTGCCCTTGTTATGTTTAAAACTTGAGACTTCTGACAATAAGCTTCTCGCCAAATACAAAGTACGTTTTTTGAGATTTTTGCTTTAATGTAAAGAAATTTAAAATAGTCCGCCCTTTGTAACCTTTTTTTTCTTCAGGTTAGCAATAAAGCATAAATAAATAAAAAAATAACCTATATATGTCCCACCGCTGGACAAAGGTCTCTTCTGTAGGTAAATAGGGTATTAGAAACATCACACAACTTTAAATTATTAAGAAAATATTCAACTTTACTCACTCTGTTGTTTTTCACCACTGAACACTTGATATTGAAGCACTTAAAATTGCAATTAACCATTTCATTGGAGCCAGCACCGGGGTTTGATCTAACATTGCTCGAGTATAAAGTCGAGCGCCCCAGCACCGAGCTATCACGGTTTTTGAATAAACGGAAGCAAAGGAATGTTTACACTGATTGCCGCTAAATCAACACAAAAAGAATATTTTCTGATCGCTCCGAAACACACCCAGTTTTGGGAGCAAATACCAATTCTATTGGTGAACATAAGAACTGTCAAATTCCTTCTATTTCTGAACCTAAGAACTGTCATAGAATAACGCTCGAAGGAATCCGGTCGACGATCTGGCCACGTAGGGACGTCATCTGTTCTTTATAGCCCCTGGATTTAATTTAGCGCGACATTATTCACGTCGCTCGGTAAGTTTTTGCGTTCCGCGGAATATCGCCAGTCGCCAGGCAAACAGTTTATGATAGACGCCTGATCCATTTTTCATTGCGGCAATACGGTTACGGATTATTACGAAACGTTTGTTTTAAACGGAAACGCTTTCATAAACAATTCATAATGTGTGTAGTAGTTAACAGCTATTTAAACTGATTTTTTTAACGTATAACCTCATGATTCGATTAAAGCTCATGCTTGATGAAATGTATTTTTCTAATATTTTTGTGTAAAATTCAATCGTTATTGAATTTATAAGTACTTATAATCATGATTTAATGAATCGAAATATGAAGTTTTTTAATGTTGTGTTTTAAATTCTATCGTCACCCAAACGTTTTCCTATGAAATGGTTCGTATATTATAAGACATTTCTAAACCTTAAGATTTATAAAAGTATTATAGAGAGTTAAGTTAATCCTGACAATTTTCTCTGACTGACTGAAACATGTTTTGAGACGTGATTATTAAAGGTGTTCTTTCGTCATTGTACTTTTTCCACTCTTCCGGCGTCTTCATTGATACCGAAAAGAAGAATAGCGATTTCCCATGTTTACGGAAGGCTACTATAAAACGGAGCTGGCCGCTCGACAAACGAAAGTGACAATAACCTCTTATCGCTTCCCAAATAATCTCTCAACTTAACCCAAAGACGAACGTTTGTTTGTCCAAGTTTCGAAACGGAACGGAGATAAGATTCGTGCTCAAGCCGGGCCGAAACATGAGCGAGCTTTTTGTTTCCCCGCCTTTATCAGTTTCGTCTTCCAGCCGAGTGCTTTTTATAGTTTCCTTCATAAGCGGCGCACGGGGCCGTGACGTGTGATTTTGTCTGGTCCACTCGATTCTCGCTAATGGAGCGGACAAGGGAAGATACGAATTTGGGGTACGGAGTTGGCTATTTATGATTGGCTTCACCGGCTCACGGTGACGCCCGACCACACTTCTTCCATTTTCTTCCGATTTAAAGGATACGTTTCTATAGTATTCTGAATATTTTAGACAAGATGTGCTCTATCATGACACTAACTTTTTCTTTTTTTTTGTGTAAGTTTTGTCGAGATATCTTTGTCAAATTTCGAATTTCCATAAGCGTTGTCTTGCACTGGACGGATGTTATGAAAAAAATGTAGTAAAGTACCTTGTCCCTTTACTCTAAAATGTACTGTTACAATATTTATTTTTTGGTAGATGTTACTAGCACAGATATTTCGAGGCGACTGAATACTCAACTTTGGCAGTATTTTGCAGACTATTTATACACAATTGCTACGTACCTGTGAAATTGCATGCCAAACTTGTCTGAGCATCCGTAGTCAATGCGACATTCACACCAAAGATTCGGAAATTGTGATGAAATTTAAGTGAATTTCATGTTCAATTAGCAAGGCCATTGCTATCGATAATCGCATATATCCTATGCAATATATTATTCAATTAAAAGACAAATGCTTCTATTCTAACTCCTTATTTTGTAGCATTTACTATTAATAAGTACCGTGACAAAAAAATCCATGTAAATGATACAATTGCTTAGTTGCCACGGCAGAGTAATATCGGTTTTACGTGATAATTAATTCCAGCAGTTGCTATTCATTTAGACATAGATCACCTGTGCCTGCGAAAGGCCTGTTCCAAACAACTGCCCTAAACTGCCCTCGGAACAATTTGTTGAACTTCACGAATCGGAGGCGGAAACTTTTAATTAAGCGGAGGAAAGTTGTAAAATGTCGTTAGGGGCGACTCCAGGAGTGGAATTGTCAACAGCGGAGGCTTCGAGTGTACTCGATTACAACAACCTAATCGGCTGGGAATCGGGCAGCGTTTTTGATTTAAATCAATTAAAAACTTTAAAGTACACAATTTCGGATATAATGCTTGTTGAGACTCATTATAATTATAAGCTGCTTCAGATATATGTCTAACCGTATTTTGATTACGTAAAGTACATATTACTATGTGAAGCAAAAATAATATACAATATACCCTTTAAGGAAACTGTCACAAAAGAGACACGAGCGACACTAGATATTCGAAGTTATTTCGACAGAATCTATTTACATTTTGAAAACATAGTAACTCAGTTAGTTACTCTACCTCTCAATTCATCTTTTGTAATGGAATTTAGGTACAGAAAGAAACATGATTCATTTTGATGCTCATAATTCCTAAAAACTTCTGCTGTATTTAAAGCTCTCATTTTGAATAAGTCACTTGGCTAGTTGAACAAAAATTTTTAATGTATTGTCATGTAACATGACATATTTATGCCAGTCCTTTTATGAATAACAAATAACCCTGTCATTTTAATGAATTATAAACCAGCTTGACTAGTTTCCCACTTATAGCTTACGGGATAAAGTAGTGATTGAAATAAAGCAGTGGTTGATTTTTTATGAGAAAAGTTGCCAAACAAACAGACGGTTCACCTGATGTTAAGTGAATACCGCCGCACATGGATATCTGCTACACTCGAGGGTTCCAGATGTGTTGACAATGTTGAAGCCTTATGTTGTAACTGCAAAAGCTCAGTAAAAACCTATTCACCGTTGCCTTAAAGACTTCATATGGAATTTGCATTTATACCAACGGTGTATTTGAAGATGCTCTTAACACTTAAGTTTGTATGGGTAATATTATGTTTATCGATATCAAAAGGTAAACTTTAAAGTTTATTACTTTTCTTCTGTAAATTATTACAGACTTTCAAAACTAAAGAACACTTTGCCATGCTTCTCTGTAAAGTTATTGTTAAGATCCCTTATTTTTTGGAACTCGACTGCTTTAGCGTAACATTGTACACACGTCAAATAGTCTAGTAGTGTACGAACGTAATATTGTACATACGTAAAAAAGTCTAGTAGTGTAATCGCTGAAGACATCGAACTTAGTAACGAGTGGCTACTGTAGTAGTACTGTAGTGTAGCTGATAACTGTCGCACTGAGTTAATCGGAGCCCACTCGCTTTAAAGTGGTTATAAAACTGAAACACGTAGAGCATTTATGTCAGAGATCCCGGTAAATAGGGCAATACGAAGTGTTCTCGTTTCCGGAATCCTCAGTTCTTCGAGTGATGTAGCCCGACCATTGCCACTTCAGCTTTCAAATCCGAAAAGCTATGCAGATCACTCTTGACCTTCAGCGAATTTTCTCTTTCCCTGTGTGATGTATAATTTGAACGTTAGATTTAAGTTAGAAGCCAGTCTATATACCCTACCAAATTATTTAATATTTATAAATTATTTAACGTAATTATTATTTAAAGGTGGCAACGCATTTGCAACCCTACGGGTATTGCAAATGTCAATGGGCGGCTGTTATCACTTAACATCAGGAGTACCGCCAGATCGTTTGCCACTTTCTTACATAAAAATCCATGATCCGTGACAGAGTTCTACTATAGCCTTCTAGAAATAATTTATACTTTGAATAACGCATTTCATTTTCAATTTATTTCTGACGAAATCGGTGTAAAGCGTCGCAATGAAACGTTTTATGTTACTCTTCTTGAGAAATCACCGCGTGTCTCACTATAACACAAGTGGAATGGTGTGGAAGAGAACGTTTTAAAATACATTTATCAGCGCAAACTTCCAATTTCGTACATCTGCCTGCGCATCGCATGTTGTACTACGGAAGACTCAGGGCTTTAGCTTTTACAAATCGTGCTCTGCTGCAATGCATGTTTAGCGTAGAGTACGTAACAAGCAGAACTCGAAAGTCAGTGGGTCGTATTTATATATAGATAAATATAACAAGTATTCAGTCGTCTAATGACTGGTCTAAATAACATTAAATACAATTGTTCTATATTCATATCTTACGTACATAAGCATCTATCTAAACGGGCGTTTTAGGACATTTATTCTCCAGTTATCCTTTTTAACATTCATCAAACAGTTAAATTGCCATGAAATAATTATCATTTGTAATATATCACAGCTTTTGGTAAACTCTCATTATCTGAGATTATGTGTATAAAATTTGTTGAGTTATTTATTTCCTTAGCCTAAGATTCGGGACCATATAATTTATGACAGTGAAATGCACAGTCTGTTGCCCTACCTTTTTATATTTTAGATAATATTTATTACCTTATGGCTTTATGCTTTCACATAGGATCCGGTCTGTCTTCTACTTTCCATAAATCACGATGGTATGCAAACTTTTTCAATATTTTGCAATGTATATTCTAAGGAGTCAGAAAGCCTCTGTCTTCCATTAACCTATCCCAATCTCATTGGGGCCATACATCACGCACTACGGACGCTACCAGTCTCTATAAATCAATCCCTCCCAAATAGTTGCCGACTACAACAAATATTTTATCCGAAGAGAGATGACCAACCTCAATACAGATATTGTGTGTCAAAACATATGATTTGTCATACTGAAAGTATTATAATAATATTGATCGAGCCTGTAACATCAAACAAGTTTGCTTTCACGAATGTGTTGCTTTTAGGCGAACGTTTGGATATGTTATATCGCTTACTGTATTTGATATTTATTGTATTGAGTTGCAATAAAAGTCAAATGTTTATAGTTTAGTCTTAATTTTTACGCGACAATGTCTTGCTTTCAACACTTAAATGTTCACCCTTTATTTCTTACAGCGAGATCAGAAGAGTTCTTATGAAAAAACTTATTTGCGTCTGATTTACGGTTAATAATCTCACGTCTTTTTTTCTTCTTTCTGTTGTCCTCAAACTAGGTCATAAGCTCACGTAAATATCACAATTTGTGATTATAGGTAAATGTACCCGTAGTAAAAACCTGCCATCACTGTCTACACAGTCAGCATTAACAAATACGGGCTGGTATTCTGAAAATTCATAAGAATGTCGAGGGCGAAGTAGACAAAGGACATTATAGTCTAATTCGCATTGTAAGAGAGCCATGTTTGGACTGCTGATCATGATTAGTCTGACTCATCCGGGGAAGTAACAGAAGCCTCAATGAGTAAGGTAACTAACGTTTAACCTTTTAAGATTACCATAATTACATACCAAAGTTTCGCTTGTGTTTTATATGTCCATGGGCGTCCGACATCAATGAACACCAAGAGAATCGAGTTTGAAACTTTCTTTCAAATGATAAGAATTCTTCACCTGCAGACCCAGTAGATATTAAAAGATCTTAAAAAAAGAATATAGTTTTATGTATAGCTTGTGAAACAAAAACACGTCACTTCAAGCGAAATGTTCACAAAAACACATTTGTGCCATAGCTTACAAAAAGTAAAATTAAAGGCCAGTCTGCCCAATACAGCAGGCCGACAGGTTACGATCGAAAATTTAATTAAACCGTTTAAAGCATACTTTAACCTGAGCGCAGCGGTTGAACTGCCAAATCGACCGTTCCTCGAGCTGTTCACTCCACGATCCGATACGATATCGGTTCGATTCCGCAGCAATAAACGTAAAAAGGCGTACGAAATTGCGCGCACAGTGGAGAAACTGCAAATGAAGTAGCGACTATGTCCATCGCTCCCAACATTTCGTAGCGCCCGTGCATTTCGGATCAACGTGTAGTGAAACTGATTTTTTATTTACTCATTGTTTAATCAACTGCTCATTCAACAATTATGTGTTATCATACGGCCAGTAAGAGATTCCCAATTACTAAATGCTATGTTTACGGATTTATCGCGTTTATTTTTGGTTTTAATTCCCGACGTTTCGAACCCTTTACAGCGTTCATGGTCACGGGACTTGTCCCGTGTGTGTGATTATTCTTGTATTTACGCAATGTGTAGTCGCGTAAATACAATTATTAGATTCCCAATTTTTAAACAATTCAATTTGTAGTTTCCTTTTTTTT